GATATTGCGAAGTTGTAGTCAACCGAACGAAATCAGGATGTAATCGATTATCCGCATTATATTTGGCGAGAGTTTGTCCCGTAGCGTGCGAGGCGCCTAATCGCGGGAAACGGATCGAAGTAGCTGCATCCCTGACCTTAGCCCGGAGTTTATACCCGGAGATCGAGCCGACGAGTCTCCCGACGGTGTTACGAACCGAAATTACATGGCTCTGACGAAATGTGCCGAGTAAGACTTGGCGGCCGTGCCAATAAACTCGATGTTTTCCGAAAATTTATTTCCGTTGCTGCGTGCGCCGCGCAGCGCAACTAGCGCGGCATCGGCGAGGGTATTTTTACGGGCGAGTCGTGTCGTGACGCGTCGTCGTCGTCGGGGGATCGATGAATGAGAACGGAAATGTGATTCGCTGGACCGTTCCGTAGAATCCAAGATGCAGAAAAAATTCGAAAGCGACGAGATGACTGAACGAGTCTAATCGATCGCGAATCTATTCGTCTTAATGGATTCGCGATTAACGAAGCGGGTGACACCACCTCTCGGACCGGTCGAGTGTTGTCGCGGTCACGCGGAAGAAGAAAAAAAATCCCGGATCGCGCCCATGACCATACCTAATGCCAAGCGTCGCTACCTATTGGAGGATCTATAACGTTTGGTCAAGGTGGAGAACAAAAGGGAATAAAAGTTTAGACTAGGGCACGGCTGCTAACAGATGCGGGACAGCATATGCAAAAAAGAAGTGGCGTACACGTGTGCGTGTAGCCGTGTACCACACGTACATGTACACCACTCGCATGCAAATCTTTTCTTCCCCCGAAATCAGACGCGTCTCTTTTTAAGCCTATGACATATCCCCTCAACTACAGGAAAAGGAACCGACTTAAAAAACACTTAATTCTGTCGAGGCGGTTAACTAATAATTATTACATGCACGGAGGAACATTTAACTTTTAAACTTTTTAATAATGAATGTGAAAATATAAAAATTGACCGTGTGACGCTCACGTAAATTCATTAATAACTAATCTAAGAATCTACGGTCTATGCATTATGGTAAAATGTACGTAATTAATAAAAAATGTATTAGGTGTGTATAAACATTAAGCACACATGTGTGCACGACAAATACCAGAATTATTTTACAAGATTCTAAAAAGTGCGAATACGCCGGTCACGTGGCGAACTCGTGAATCATTCCTGTCGACGAACGCAAACCTCACCCTCCTTAGTTTAGTCACAATCCAGCTGTCGAAGCTACGTACGTTTTCGGGGGTAGGTCCCCGACATCATCGGTCTGGCACGGCGGGCACGAGCGTAATGCCACGGGGCTATACCTTGGAAACGATAATTCTGCCCGGTAACTTTTTCTGGGGTCATCGAACTCTTAACGAGATTCCGTCGATATTCCCGACTCGAAATCGATTTGGCCTTACACCAACGGAGAACGAAGCGCAAAGTTATTTACAAGTACCGAGAACACTCGTAAATATAGCGTCACGCGAAACATTTGTTGATTTAATAATGACACAACTCAACTTCTATTTTTGCAGATGTAATTATGTTCCTAAGTATATATATATATGTATATATATATCGCATATATGTATCGCAAACGAGACTTTCTTACTGGCTGGGACATCAATTGTATATATATACAATTGATGTCCCAGTCAGTAAGAAAGTCTCGTTTGCGATACTTATCGCCCAAGCAATAGAATTTCGCGCGGTAAAGAAATGTGTCGACCATTGCGGATCATTAAGGATCGTTTAGTCGTACTGATATCGATCGCGATTGAAGATATAAATAATAAACTGCCTGTTATAGTATGCAAAAAGAAAAATAATAGCCGATTCTCTCACGATTAGATTAGATTAGCTCGTAACGCGTTAAATCGGCTTTAGCGAAGGTAAATGATGCTCTAGGTACAACGGTAAAGTTTTAATGTTAGCGATTATGGATGAGTGAAAACATCTAGAGATACCGTATACGAGTTCCGTAACAGCCTGTTAAACGCGTTGGCTCTGAGAACAAATTTGTCTAATTTTAAATTTGACTTTTTTTTCTCGCGTCACCTTTTCACTATTCAAAAATTTTTGCGTAAAAATGAAATTTAAGCATTGACCAGCTTATCGTTTTCACAGTATATTTATATTTAAATAAGCAAATAATTTCTAACTTTAAACTTAGTATTTCACAAATCATAGAATCTCTTTTCTATCTCGAATCGTCGCTGCTCCAGTATGTACAGGCCCACCACCTCTAAGTGAGCGATTTTTTTTTAAGGGAAGGTTCATTAATCCGGTACCGTGTCGTAACGCCAAGATTACACGTGATCAATTCCTCGCCCATTTTCTCATGCGAGAGAAATCGCCGGTGAAGTATGAAATGTGTGCTCTAATTAAAGCTTCAATGCGTTCACGATTGATTTTTCGTGACTCACGGACAATTAACATTTATAATTGGAATTGATTTAATAATAATTATTACGATAAATTTAAATTTAATTTTAATTAAAGTAAAATTTAATATATGTCATCTTCTCCGCGAGGATCTCTCGTTGGAAATAATCTAATGAAGAAAATTAAATTCTTTATTTTTCTCCGGATACAAAATTCCCGAAATATAAATTAAATTTCGGCTTACAGTCAATTCATTAGTGAACGTAACAAATTAATTTTCCGATAACTCATACACTCATCGGAACAAGCAGTTTTAAGCGATCGCGTGAATCTGTTATACATTTCCTATTTCGAGCAATGATTACGTGGTCGTCGTGCGACGTGTTACGGCGTATCGGAGACGTATGTGTACACGTAATGCATATATTACGAGTGCGTACGTGCGCGTCTCTGCAAGGCGATCATATTGTACACGATGTAGGAAGAGAAACGAGAGAGAAAGAGAGGCACGGAGAAGCTCCATTGATTGGTCGGTGGCACGGTGGAACGTTGCAGCTATCCTGGGGGTATATGAACCCCGATATATACGCTTCTCTCTCCGCCATTTCCTCTCTCGCCCCCTCTCCCTTTTTCTTTCCCTCTCTCATTCCATCTCTCTCCCTCTTATTCGTCTCGCGTTTACCCTCGCTACGATTTTACCCTGTAGTGAAACGCAGGCGCGTCACATGGACCCAGAAACGATCAATACGAAGTTCCCCAACCAGACCTAGTCTCTCTCGTTCCCTCTCATTCGTTCTCTCTCTCTCTCTCTCTCTCATTTTCTCTCTCCTGTTGTCTGTTTCTATCTCGCTTTTTCTCAATCTCTCACGGTTCCATCTTTATGCCAGCCTTTGCGACATCGCCACTAATCTTTGATATTTCGACGCTCCGAGGATTCTATACCAGACACGCGGAAAACGAAGCTCATTGTTCAGTCGAAACTGATGAAACTTTCCGCTTTCCGCTCACTCTCGCCACTCTTTGCGCAATTTTAGCTCGAATATATAAAATATACAATTCTTATATACATACTTATTAAATGTTAATTAAACGTGCAGCTAAAAAAAGAAGAAAACATAACGAAAAGAGAACTTACAATTAGTCATTTTCCTAATTTTAAATTTCCGTATGTTTACACGTGTGTTTATTTGTTGACATGAAAGAACAGCTTCGATTTTGGAGCTCAAACCTCGCCGAGATTTGTTCTCCATAAAAAAAAATTGACATTGAATCTGGTATTCGCACAGTTTCTGCAGTTACTTATAGTACTTAAATAAAGAGAAAAGCGGTATCAATCGATCTCCATCGGCTATATATCGTATCGGTTATATAGCTCTCCCTCTCTTTGGCTCACGCACCATTGTAATCGAGGCCGTCGCGGACGGAAGTGTCCCTCTCGAGACATCCTGCTTGTCCTCGACAAGGACCGGCGGTCCCGGTCCTCGCTCCATCCCGGGTCTGCTTGATGCCACATCGTGCATCGCGAAAGTTCGTCGTCTCCTCTCTACTGCGTTATTTCAATTTGCTGGTTTTCGGTCGGTACGTCGCAGGATCGATAAGGGGTTGGATCAGGAAGGAGAAAGAGAGAAAGAGAGAGAAAGAAAGAGGGAGGATGGGAGGACGAGAGGGAAGGGGGCGAGAAGTGTGCATGTATATGTTTTATGCGTATACGTGTATGTATGTGCGTATGTTGCGACGTTGGTGCTCCCGCGACAGTCGCTTTCTAGTGCCACGCCCAGGGAGAGAGAAAGAGCGCGGTCTGGTGCACACACAATATCGCGCCGCGGTGCGTAAGCGTCAGCTGCTGGACGCAACCGTTTCGCGGTTATGGCGGACCGATTGACGTTAAATGCAACAACTTTGACTGGGCTTTGATCAGCTCCGCCGCGTACCACTATTTTCACGTTGCGCCCTTGCTGATGCATCTCTTGCAGGGGATCACGCAATTTTTTTTTTTTTTTTTTTTTTACAACGAGGCCCTTCCCGCGCGGATGAGACCTTGAATATTTGTGGCGATGCACTTTGCGATCAACACAACGCTGTAAATCAATTTAATGAAAATCACTCAGTTTTCTGTAAATCCCAATATTATTATTTATTCTATAACTTTTTTAGTCAATATAATTAAAATGAAATAATAGCAATATATATGGGTAATTGTGGAAGAAGATTACGCATTATGTGGCAATGTATGGATGTCTGTTTGAGATTAAATTGAGATAAATAAGTTTAATAATTACGTAAAATATAATAAATTGAGAACAGCGACGGGCACCAGCACGAGGGAGCACCATAGGAAATTAATTCTTGGACTTAAAAGGATAACCTAAATGTGATACCGGAAGATACCTCGCACGAGAGGGATCCCCACGGTACGGAGGACGAACATATACTTAAAGATCCGGCAGCCGATCGGCGTACGATCGACGTACACAGATCCGCTAAATAGTTAATAATTATAACGGCAATAATAACAACAATAATAACAAGATAATAATAACAATAATGATAAAGATTCGTGAGAATCACAGAAACAACGAAAGTAAAGAAACAAATGAACATACCGGTTAACGATGAAAATCAGTGGTTGGAGGATGCCGATATCTGGGCGCAGAACGGAACGGCGATGGGTTCTACTTAATTATTTTTATTTTCCTCTATTTACGCGCGTTATCTCGTACGTATTTCGCGGCTGCGTTTCCCGTTTAATCTTTGTACTAGTTTTCTCTTTTTTTTCTCGCTCTCTTTCAACAAATTTCTCAACAAACTTTACGACGCGACTTGGAAAGAACGCCGAACCGACGATCGCGCGATCAACGTGGAGGCCGGTTTTCGTTCATCGAACACGAGTTCCGGCATCGAATTCCGTCGAGAACGTAAACTCGGGTGCCGGTTTATTTGTGAACACTTGATAACTATAACTCGCGACAGGAGATAAACAAATCTCGCGCGCGACGAACACACCCAGTGTCTCTCTTTCACTCCCACCCCCGACCAGCAGGACGCACTCCTATTTGTCCCTCTCTCTCTCTCTTTCTCTCTCTCTCTCTCTCTCTCTTTCTTTCCCTCCCTCTTTCGTTTTGTCTTTGCTGGTGCCTCTTCTGATTAAAGGATCTTCCAGCTGACGATCTTGTTGATCACCCTACCAGTTCCACGTTAACGCGCTCAACTCTCGCTCTCGCGTTATCACGTGAAAAGATCACGCACCGTGTTACGCGCCGATTATCGTATTTTCGAGTTATTATCGCGACGCGTTAAGCCAATCAGAGGGATCGTCGATCCAGAAGGGTTATAAATGATCGGGACATCAAGAAGACGCTCTTTGAAGCGAGACAAGTCGGGAGTACGATTTAATAGAGAACGTAGGGGACGGGTCCAGGGATCGAACAAAATTATAAAAGATCGGAAGAATATGGAAAGGTTGTTCCTCTGCTTTATCTTTGGCCGATTCCGCCCGGCAAAACTTGTCTTCCCACGCGATATATATTCGCGAGATCCACCGATTTCGCTTTTCTACTTTCTCTCCGCGCGAGTTTTTCTCGTGACAGTGTCACCCGAACGGCGAACGACAATGTCGCTCGCGATCGACACGTGGACGGGACAAAGCAGCAGCAACAAACTGAACGTTAGAGGACCACGATAACGATGACGATAAGAGCAACAGCGACGACTGTTCTTTTTGTGACGACGAACGATACCGAACCGAGTTTTTTCTTTCTTTTTTTTTACGCCGAATTGAAGGGTCAGAAATTAGGAGATATGCAAGCAAATAGTAAGAATGTTGCGGATATAACGGTGTCTACAACGCAATGCCTTTATGTGGTGCGGTAACTAAACTGACGAGTCTGAGTCCCAATAGCGACGGCTGCACCCTCCGAACGCCCGCCGCCGCCGCCCCCACCGTCTCGGCTCGTCTCGGGGGTGGGGTAGACTCAGGGGGGGCGAAAAGAATCGTGAAAAACCCTCGGTCGAGGGAGATTGGCGTCGACGCGATACACGCAGACGCCGTCGTCGTCGGTGAAAGGTGAAGGAGAGGCCGGGAGCAGCGCGGGAGAAGAGGTCGGAAGGGATGCGAAGGCGGAAGAGGTCCGGGAGAGGTGGAGGGTGGCAGTGAGGAGTCGACGGTGTCGAGAAAGGGGTGGAAATTTTCGCGCAAGCGTGTTCGGCGGCCTGCACTCTCCGCATACCGACCACCGGAGGTTGGCTGGACGGTTCGTCGATTGGTTGGTTGGTTGGTTGGTTGGTTGGTTGTTCGGTTCTGTGTGCGTTGCCCCGATGCACATATTTCCAAACATCGAGCGCGCATCACGGCGCAGCTATGGAGAGATTTTTTTAGTCATTATGCGCACGAGACATTCCCGTGATAAATGATACTTGCCCGGGTAGGGGGAGGGGCGGGAAATGAGGGCCCTATTGATTAAAACAATCGTCCCGGGAATTTACGGGAAATTACTACCCTCGCGTCGGTCACTGCACGAATAAATGCAGTTATACATGGATGTTCCATCGACTGATTCAATTCAAGACCTCCATAAAATGATCTTTAACCGCACCGTTCTTACAAATCAATAGACCTAGTGACATTTCCAGAATTGAGAGTCTTAATTTGGGTATTTGGCGCAGGGTGCAGTTCGATCAGCCCTAAGAGTGTTATGCTACAAACTAATATTTTATATAACTAACATATGCTAAGCCATGAGGAAACTGTTACCTCTAAGTTCCTAAGGAAGTATATATGAATAATTTAGAAATATAAATAATTCAAGCAACATGATCGCGGTTATTTATAGATTAGATATCGATAATTGTACGGAAAAATATGGGTCGACATAGAAACGGGACTCCGTCTGCTCATGTAGCTGGACGATATTTCACCAGTCTCCGACATCTCCGTTGTTAGAGTAAAAAAAAGCTGAAGAGAAGGGTGTACCATATAAGTGAAAAATATGGGAAAACTTCATGAAAAACGATAAATCGGAAAGGTAATAAAATTTGTGCAGAGATGTTTGAAAAGTGAATGAGAAATATAAAAAAAAATAAAAATGTAAAATAAAAATAAAAAATTAAAATGGAGAGAGAGAAAAGTACAGAGAATTCCGATTATTAGAACAATAAAAGCCAACTTCCAAACTATTGTACTCATTGTCAGTTATAGTGATGGATTAAAAAAGACAACGAGAAAAAGGAAAGATATTAGAAGAGCGCGAAAGAGTGCGTACAATTTTAGAACGGGAGCTAGTATCTGTTAACTGTATAGCATCCATCACACAGACCGATCGATCGAGCTACATTACGACGGCCGATCTTCGCGGGAAGCTGGCATGATTAATATCATGAGTGCATACGAACTTTTGAACAACCGTACATTGCCTCGATTATCGACGGGAGGAGACGGGTGATCAAAGAGAAAGGGGAGAGAGACACAGAGAGACGGACGGGGGTTCAGGGTGAGAGTAGTAGTCGTCATAAATACGCACGCGCCAAATAGGGTTCACGCAATGGAGGGGTTGATGAAGAACTGGATGGCGCAAGCGCCGGACAGAGGGTGTAAAAGCTCGCCGGGAGTGCACGTTCCCTCGGCAAATGGCTTTTCGGTAACGCAAACGCGGCCAAATTTCATCATACGAATTTTGTATTCCACTTGATAAAATAAAACTACACTTTTCTCTCTCTCTCTCTCTTTCTCGTTGACATTTTCTCACTCACGGTGATGCCCAATTTGGTCGCGAGTAATAATAATTTTTTGCAAAACACTGCCAATATCGAGATACATCTCTTTGCGATTTGGTCAATTAGAATTGCGCAAAACGCTATCTGGATGAATCACGCAAAACAGAATTCCATCGTGCGAATACAATACACGTTACTTTACAAAATTATACAAAAAAGTTACTTAAAACAAATTATAACAAAATTATCACGATTTCTGTTTGCGGTATGATTCCTCTACGATAAAATAGACCTTCTTCATTGTATTACAGGATCTTTACACGTTATCGAGTTAGTATCAAATGGCAGAATGAATTGCTCGTACGAACGTGCGAGTTTAAAAAGTCCATGAAGCAAACGGCGAACGGCGTTTATCTCATGGCGGCGATCTCATCTGCGATCAGCGACCATGAACGATAGCGCGAATATATGAGGCCTATATCGATCGCTTCTTTTTTATTATACATGCGTAGGTTTGTTTGCTTCTGTAGTGTTAAGCGTCCGTTAACGAACCTCGTGGCGAACGATTTCTTAATGAGTCACGTCATGAAGGTAAGGATCGATAAATATTGGATATGATGATGTATGTACATGTAATTGGTTTCGTTTGCGTCACATTTCGATATTACGAGACGTAAGAGATAGGCGAATGGCGAGTGGAGCAAAGGAGTCGCCGTTGTGGAACAAAGGGAATAAGAGAGAAAGAGTCATTGGGGAGAGGTGAAAAGGGACGAGGGAGACAAGGGGTGTAATCTAATGGTAAATAGCACGTATGCATATAAGGGTCAGTCCAAGTGCGTCAGTGGCGTAGGAGATTGAATACTGCTTATCAACGTGCGCGAAACAGGCAATTTTGTTAAAAGAAAAAACTTCGTTGGATATATTATATAACTGAACGAATATATGCGGAGAAATGTATAAAATAGTCAATCCTACATTATCAATAAGAGCTTAGTTTATTAAAGCGTAAACAATATGTTACGTTTCAAAACTTATGTTTTCGTTATTGTTATTATCACATTACATAGAACTTGTTATCATAATAATAATATAATACAATTATAATTTATTATAATATTATATAAACATTTTATGTTTTAAAATTATGCAGAAAATATGATAGCAAATTTAATATTTAACCCCAAATTTACTTTTTCGTGTGTTTCGTTCTGTATTAATCATCTTAAATTCAAATATTTATACATATGCAATATAAGTCACAGAAAGAGAAAGAAAGAAAAAGAGAAAAATAACTCTCGTGTAAAGTCTTGACATATTATATTTAGAAGCGTCGGCTGGAAATAACAATGAACGATAGCAAAGGAACTATGCCTATCCCCCGATCCCTTTTAATGTATATCTTATGGCAATCTGTAATCTCTATAATTTCTAAAAAATAATTTGCAAACACGAATTGCAATGTACCTACGCATTTATGACGTCGACGTCGACATCGAAATGCGCTAAAAGTATTGCCAAGTCGTGCCAGTGTAACCGCTCGTAAAACTCACCGATCGCCGGCGATCGATCGGCGCGGGTCGTGCCCACCCCACGTCTTAATCGCCAGAGGAGTCTAGACACCTCTTCCAGAGGAGGTCGCATAAATTCCGCGAGAGGACGGCGCAGCGGATAATTTACGGGGGCGCTCGTCCTCTTTGTGCTCCCGAGTGTCCTGGGAAGACCGGCGCGCCCATTCCACCCCGGGCGACGGCCGCGCCTCCTTCCTACGCCACTGCGAGGGTAGACCGAGGGGTGCCAGCGTCAGACGGAGCCGCCAGCCGGGGTTCGGGGGGATGCTCGGAGGGGACATTGGGAGGGGTTGGAGGAGAGGGGGGGGTCTTTCGAATATCGATCTCTCCGCGTTCTCCCAGTCATTCACTCTCTCTCGTGCAGTTCCACGCTCGTCCCTCTTCCCACTCGTTTCGCGTTGCCAGTACTCCCACAGAATAGTGGAAGGGGTGCGGAACAGGGTGCGCGGAGAGGGGTGCGGCCGAAAGGGGGGCTTCATCCGGAGGTCCCAGCCAAAGCCCGGGGGAGGAGGGCATTCACCAGGGAACGCGTCGCCACCAACTACCGCCACTACTACTACCACCACCACCACCACCACCACCACCACCACCACCACCACCACCACTAACCGACATCCAGAAAAATATCCTCCGAGATCGGAGGGAAATTGGTTTACCGGATCCTGCAGCGCGGCGTTTGTACGGAATTATCCGCCCCTCCCCCACCCGCCTTTTCACTCCTCTCTGTGCCATTTAATTTGCATCCTATCTTTGAAAATTCGTTACATCGTAGTCTCCTTCGATTTTTGTGATATATATAGTTAGATATATATAGTTTTATAAGAGAAACGAGAGAAGTAGGAGAACAGGTCCACACTTGTAGATCAGTTGGCAACATTAAAAATATTTCGTTTTTTGAAAACCTCGTTGTATAAATATCGCAGAGCGTAATACATTAGTTTATCATTCTTACACGATTATCAGTTATTTTTTATAGGCATACGTTGTTTTAATCAAATTTATATTAACATATCAGTAGCAAATAATTATTCTCATACTCATACTTGTTTTATATGTGACATTACGTTATGCCTTGTGTAACAAAATGCATCGAGATCCATTTTCAAAATTCGTTACACGGCGATGACAGAGGGTCGAATAAGTGGCCAGCATCGTCATTCATTGTTCGTGAAAATTGTCGTTCGCGAAAGTGTCGTCCCAAGACGAATAGAATTGCTATCCGTCTGTCTACGTCCTCTCTCTTCCCTCCTTTTTCCTAGCCCCGAGTTATCATCCCTCTCCCGAAGCAGAGTTTGACCAGGGGTATGTAGGGGTAGGTCGCATACCTTACGATCGTGTTGCATGCGTATCTACAGACTGCATAAAATATTGCGTGGAAATAAGACTGTATGTATTCTACAGAGGCAAAAAAAATATATATAGCTTATATATAGCTATAATATATGGTATACAATATATTATATATATCCAACCGTCTCTCTATCTCTTCCTTCTAACGAGTTACATAAGCATACCAACCAGCGAAATTACAGGGAACGATCCTCGAGGCTATATGGGAGTCGGAAATGACGTGACTGGCTGCTAACTAGCGTCTGATTTAACGGCTA